CTGTCCAATAGCCAACCGTGTCTTGCAAATATACTCACATTTCTGCGACCCCCTTTCCATTCAGCACCCATTTTTCCTAATTTACCTGTCCTTGCCAGTTATAACTGGGAGTGATGAAATGGGCAGCTGAAGATCATAAGAGTGACTAGCCAGAATATCCAACCTGTTAGACAATGATTCCAGAATGCTTCACCAGGGCAATATGGAGCATTCGTTCCTCTCGCCAGTGGAAATGGGTTTTTTAATAGCTTGGTAGATAGAGAGTTACAGAGAGCAATGGAGAGAAATTAAGCAGCACTGCATACAAGGGTTGTTCATGAGGAAATCATTGGAGAAGAGGAATGTGGACATCAAAGGGAAAAATTAAGTCAAATTTCTCACTCAATCGTTCTGATCCAGAGAGTAAATCAAGAAAAGTGTGTGTTTTTATGGAAGCAATATTGTGACAAAATGAATCACGAACTGCATATATTTTCTTCAAGGTAAAGTAAAATAAAGCCTATTTTATTGCAAAGTTTTTAAAAGCGGGAGGGCATATATCTTGGGTCACACAATGAAGCTGTATGAGTGGAACATGTCATGGGCAATTCATTAGCATACTAGAACTATAGAATGAATGCAGTCCATTATAAAAAGGAGTGCTTCCCAGCTAAAGAAATCTTAGTTGATTAATCACGTTATTTTAATCAGCTAAATTAGTTGACTAATTAATTGGTCTGCATGTGCTTACATATAAATAAAGCAATATTTTATTTTTATGCAATATATTGCATATGTCCCATATGCAATATATGTGAGAGAAAAGCTGCAATGTCTCTTCTAAGACAGCACTTGCCAGCTTGAATTATAATACATCAGTAAATGATCAAGGGCCTATTTTAAGCCAATCACAGATTTTAGCCAAAGCGAAATTTTATGCATGCTTTAAAAATAGTCCTGGAACTCCCAGCCATTCTCCAGCTAGCATGTTGACTGAGAAATGCTAAGGGGTTTAGGACTTTTTTCTGCCTAAGCATCCATGGAACTGAATCCATGAATCAACTAAATATTGCAAGCTCCAATCATACACATTAAATAATTGCAAATATATTTGCAGAAGATACTTGTTCTTGAAATCTAGGTGAGATTTCTTAAAATACATATTTTTTTAAAAACCTGCATGCCAAAATGATTTCAGCAAAATGTGCATCTTAGAGATATATATGAGCCCAAACCATTGGAAACTTGTTTCCTCACTTATTTCTATTGAGCACATATTCTTAATAGAGAATATTATTGGACCAGCAGTACCTACCTAACCACTGTAGCCCCTCATCTGAAGAAATCAGACTTCTTTCCCAGTGGCCTGGCCTTCTTTCCCGAGTGATCAGATTGGTCTCTTGCCCTAGCTTATTGCTCCTCCAAGATCCCACAGTCTGTGGCTGTGAGGGAAACACTTTCTGAGGACTGGAAGCTTTAAATAAATATGGGCTGTTCTCATGGACACCCACATGGCTCCATCAAAAGTTAACTGATATCCCAAAAGAAAAAAAGGACATGAATAGGAGGCGGAAGCAGGGTCAGACCACAAAGGAAGAATAGAAACGAATTGCAAGGAGTTGCAAGGATGGTGTCAGGAAGGCTAAAGCAGGGAATGAACTGAGCCTAGCAAGGGATGCTAAGAACAGCAACAAAGCCTTCTTCAGATACATCCAAAACAAGAGACGCGAAAGAGAAGAGTGTCCAGCTACTTAAAGGGGATGGCAGAGTGGATGCCACACAACAAGGAAAAGGTGGAGGTGCTCAGTTCCTACTTCTCTTCAGTCTTCTCCCACAAGAAAATCTACAACCAAGAGGAAGTACAAGATGAAAGTGAGAGATGGGAGCTCAAGATTAACAGACAAATGGTCAAGGAAGATATAGATGGAATAAACATGTTCATATCTCCAGGGCCCAATGAACTCCATCCCAGAGTCATAAAAGAGTTAGCAGAGGAACTCTCCGAACCACTGGCAAAGGGCTAAAGTGGTTCCCATCTTCAAAAATGAGAAAAAAGACCAACCTGAGAACTACATAGTCTGACATCAATCTTTGGGAAAATACTGGAGCAAATTATTTAAAAATCAGTTTGCAAGCAACCCCAATAAAATGCAATGGTGAATTAAAAACCAACATGGAGTTATCAAAAATAAATCTCATCAAATTAATTTAATCTCTTTTTTTTTTTTACTGGGTAACCTCCCAAATGGACAGAGGGAACATGCAGTGGACATAATCTACCTCAACTTTAGCAAAGATTTTGAAACAGTGCCCCAAACATTCTGATAAGCAAATTAGCCAAAACTGGACTGATGGAAATACTATTAGGTGGATCCAAAATTGGCTGCTAAATCAGACACAAAGAGTGCTCATCAATGACACCTTCTCAAACTGGAGGCCAGTAACTAATGGGATCCCACAGGGTTCAGTTCTGAGCCCAGTTCTCTTCAGCATATTTATTAATGATTCAGATGAAAAAGTACAAGGAACAATAATCAAATTTGCAGACAAAACAAAACTGAGTGGAATAGTGAACACCCTAGAAGACAGAATGAAGAACCAAGAATGAGTGAATCTTGATAAACTTGAATGCTGGGCTGGAAGCAACAGAATCTGCTTCAATACAGATGAATGCAAAGTCCTCCACCAAAGAAACCAAATGCATTGATACAAGATGGGGAATATGTGGCTCAACGGAACTGAAAAAGAAAAAGACCTTGGAGTTGTGGACAACAGGCTAAATATGAGCCAACAATGCGATGCAGCTGCAAAAAGTGCAAAAGCTACTTTGGGAAGCATTAACAGAAGTATTACTTCCAAATATGCAAAGTAGTAATTCCCCTATACTCCTTACTAGTCAGATCTCTTCTGAAATACTGTGCCCAGTTCTGGGCACCAAGATTTAAGAAATTAGCAGAAAAATTAGAAAGGGTCCAGAGGAGGGCAACACAAATGAGTTGGGGTTTGGAAACACTTCCCCATGAGGAGAGACTAAGAACTGAGAGCGACTGAGAGAACTGGGCATGTTCAGCCTTGAGAAAAAAAGACTGAGCAGGGATATGTTATCACTCTATAAGTACCTCAAAGGCTGTCACAAAGAGGAAGGTCAAGATCTCTTCTCGCTGATACCAGAGTGGAGGACACTGAATAATCAGTTCAAGTTGCAACAACCCAAATTCAGGCTAGATATCAGGAAAGCCTTCCTCCCTGTCAGAGCAATACAGGAGTAGAACCAGCTGCCTAGAGAGGAGGTGGGCTCTCCCACACTGGAGACATTCCGAAAGAAACTGGACAGTCTTCTGAGTGGGATGGTGTAAATGGGTGTCCTGCAACAGCAGGGGGCTGGACCCAGTGGCCTTCACGGCCCCTTCTAACCTTACTATTCTAAGATTTCATGACTGGCCCAAGTCAAATAATTAGCTCTCAGAATGAGGACAATACCTGTGCCTATTGCTTTGAAGAAGTATCTCCTGTTTAAAAGGATGAGTTAGCGCCCCCACACCTGCTTGGAGACAACAGTGGTAGTCACCTCTCCAGGCTTATCCAGTTACCATCACGCCATGGAAGTGGTCATTGTTCTATGTCCATATTGCACATCTATGCGTGAACATATTGAACATCTGTGTGTCAAACCAGGTCTTCCTATGGACATTCAGAGTCTCTGCCAGCCTCAGAAGCCTTTGCTAACATCACAGATACAATTATGCTCCTTGTTTTTTCAGTGGAGATAGAAATCCAGTTGCATCCATTCCCTCGGGCCATAAGCATTTTGACAGGTTACATGTGTTGTGCCTTGTCTTACAGTGTATTCAGGGAGCTTCTGTTTCCCTTGAATATGTTCTGAAGTTAGAACTTCAGAGGATACGCTCAGGTGTGTGCTTGCCTAGTTATGTTTAGCTATATAGAATCTCTGGCTGTAAAGTTATCGTGCCTTTGAAGATCATTTGTGAAGAAAGGCTGTTGCCTTCTTCTCCTGCCGCTGAGCTTCTGGATGTAGCCAGGAGATACATTTTGAAAAAACAGAAGTAAAGCCATCCTGGGCCGGACTAAAACCCTGTCCGGCCTGGGATTCTCTTCCCATGGTGGCCATTCCGATGCTTATGGGAAAACAGCAAGCAGAAAAGAAGACAATAGCGTCCTGTTACTTTCCCCCCAGCAGAGATATACACAAAGCCCTTGATCCTCGCTGTAGTATGTCGTTGTTACTACTCCTATGTCTTGACAGCCCCTTTTCCACCTTTGTTTATTCAGGAATGTCTCCCACTGAGTTTAACGCAACGTACGCCAATGCCACAACTCAGTCTATTTGTGTTTACCGGATGTCATGCATAGCATAAGTACAAACGGACCATCCAGCAATATACCCAAGAAGGGCCACACTAACTGAGGATCTTTGATTGGGTCACCCATCTCTCTCTGGGGGCATGTTGGGAGAAATCTCCCTTCTCTTAAAAGGTTTAGTAAAAGTCCCTGCAACATTTTATCCAATACTGTTTTCACCACATCAACTTCCCTCTCCTCTAAAATTGCTACTTGTTCCATTAGGGAAGGCAAAGAGGTACCCAGGCATGAATCAAGTATCAGACCTTGTTTAACCTGAAATCGCATGAAATCTCCAGCTAAAACCTGCTTTATGTGATCAGGCTAAAGCCCAACAAGTTCAGCATTCTGCTTTCATCAACAGCCAGCCAGATACTTCTGAAAACACGACATTAAGGTGTTCGTTGGCCCTCAGTATCTGGTATTTAGAGATATACTGCCTCTGTTCATGGAGTTTTCAATCAGCAATTAAAGATAATAGCTATTAATGGAGCTTACCCACTAAGACAGTTCTCTTATTCTTTAAAAAAAAATCTAAGCCAGTCTAAGCCATCACCACTTCTTGCGGTACTGAATCCTATATGGAGTTACTTTAAGGATAAAATATACAGTTACAAATGGGAATTTCTGGGTTTCACAACACCAAAACAACCACAGGAAACTGACTTGTTATGAAAAATTTATTTACAAAAGCAACTGATTATCAGAAGTCAACATTTTCCCTTCCTTTTTGCTGCAAAGCTGTGAACATGCAACATTGTTTATTGTTTGTTTTCCAAACTGAACATTTTCTAGCATTTCACATGTACATAGACTTGGTACACTATAAAAATACATAAATGTTGCACACCATGGCTACCTGTGTTTATGGAAAATTTTATTTTAAAAAAATACAAAAAACCCAAATAACAGCAGTGTGTGAAAACTGTCTAGCTAATTCCCAACCCTTTGTCAAATTATTTCTTTTAATAATGAAGTTCTAATTTGTGCTCCAAAGTCACATTATTCTTCTAAAGATGACCTTCTTCTACTCAGAAACTGAGCTTAGGACAGCAGTAAATCAGATACTAACCCTTATATAACTCATCTCACTACCTGGATGTACCCACTCTAGATCTCGCCTGTAAATGAGTCTAGGATTGTCCTCTATCAACCAACGTGTATCTCCCTATGTTCGTTACCAGTGCCTGTTGAAAGACTTATGTAAGGCCAGTTAGGCACAGATCTTAGAGAGTCTTCTCCTTCGCCAACAGCCTTTATCAAGTTCTTGGGTGCAGCTGCAGCCTCTGTTCTTCCCATTAAATGCTAAACAGTTGCAGATCTTGGGTTTTAATAGGACTGGTTCACATAAGTGACTTTCCAGGTTTATTCTATTTTTTCGATTTATATCCCGCCTTTTTCTACAAAGGGCACAAGGCAGCTTACATCTCCTCCTCCATCTTATCCCCACAACAACAACCCTGTGAGGTAGGCTGGGCTAAGAGTCTGTGACTGGCCCAAAGTCACCCAGTTGGCTCCATGGCCAAGCGGGGACTCGAACCCAGATCGCCTGAGTCCCAGTCCCACGCTCTTAACCACTACACCACACTGATTTTTCTCCGTGGATGTGAATGTAACACTCTATCCTTTTGCATTCTTCACATCTTTAGCTCTTGTACCTATTAGAGAATGATATGACCCTGTGTCACTCTTATGATTTGGTACACATAGTATTGGTCCATTTCCCATCAAAATTGACTAATGATGACTTTAACCTACTATGTGAATGGTGCTTGGATCATCAGATTCAAGGGTGTGGAGAGAGGCAGTGGAAATTGCTGTGGGCAGTGAGTATCCATGACTTGATCAAGGTGGCCAGGGATTCAGAAGGGCTCTCTGTGCACCAGCCAAAACTAGTTTTCATACTGCATACCTTGGTCCCTGGAGCTGTGCTGAAAGCGTATGTTTCATCCATTCACGAGAACAGCCTGGTGTCCAAGCCAGGAGCTCATGAATAGGTTCACCATCTTTCTGACTTCTATGCCTCTAGCAGCTGTTTACCACAAATGCAAGATTTTTCCCATCATGGCATCACCACAGCACAAACAGCTTTACCGTTGAATTTCTGCCTGTCACACAGCCTTTGATAGAGAACAAAAGGGTACCACCATCATGATGAATGGCTGCAGAAACACCTTGTGACCAGGAGACTTTAAGATACATGCCAGCCTTTTCTAGCCATCAACCACACAAAAGAATTCACATGAACGTATGGCCCTGCCTAAATACGGACAACCTTTTAGCACAAAGGAACTCTAAATGCAGATGTGACCCCTCTGCAAACTGGGACATCTGTGTTGCCCCACCAAATGTTGTGAAGAATCTTACCATTCCCTAGCTAGCCCAGATTTCTGGTCAAAGGCACAAGTGAGCTTAAATTCTCCTCACCCCTTGGAAGGATGATAACTGGCTGACATTTTCCTGCTTAGTGTGGGAATTTTACAACCTTCTCTTTCCTTGGATCTCTGAATGAATGTGGATGCATAGTGAAATAGCACTGGGGCCATGCATACAACAAACCAATGCCAGGACTAGGGCTCTAGGGTAGCAGCAGCCGCAGCAGCACCATCCCGCCAGGTGATAAAGAAAAGTTTTCCCCCCCACCTTGAGTGCAGATCTGTGATGAAGCAGACATTTCTAACCACCCAGAATCTGACTTTCCAAGCAGACACATGAACAGTTTAGCAACCATGTCTGGTTGTCCCTATTTACCAAGTCCGACAACCCTGTTAAAAACATCTTGGCAAGAATGCTCAGGATCAATTAGTTGTTTAGCTCTGCAGATGAGAAAAGCAATTTTTCAAAGTGTACACAGGCTGAGGCAGGTGCTACTCAGAAAGAGGGCATTTTCCTTTGCACTGGACAGATACCTCTTTTAGGATGACAGCCACCATCTTCAGCACTTCAGATGTATTGAAATTATTTATTTTTCACTTGGTGGCACATCTGATTTGATCAGAATATTTCTAATGAATTAATCTAACTAGTTTATCCATTAAATGCCACTCCTCCTGCAGGTGCCTCTATGAGTAAAGAAGGTAGGCCAACGTGAGCTGGGGAGGAGGACAAGGGGGCTACACGGCTGCATTAGGCCACAAAGCAGAATGCCACAAAACACCACTCACGTGTGCACAGCACAGGCATCGTACGGCTTGGATCAAAGGACACGCCCTGCAGGAACAGCTTGCCACACGGGCAAAAGCAGTCAAGAAGCCCACAACAGAGTTACAGCATGCAAATACAGGATCCTATATACAGAGGCTACCATTATAATTGCACCCTCCTTGGCATTCAGGAGCCCTGAAAGAACAAGAATCAAGGAGCACAGCATCGCGACTCATCGGTGTAAACATCTCCCTCTCAGAACAGCCCTGTTGCTGCAGCGGGGCGGAGAAGGGGCGGTGTGTGCCGAGGCCTGCATGTCCGTGCCCGATCCCCATCCCATTCATGGACCACGGACAGGCAGATGAGGCAGGCCACCCGTCCATCTGGCTCAGTACACTCGCGACTGGCCGCTCCGCCGTTCCAGAAAGGAAGTCCTTCCTAGCCCTGCCCAGGACTCCACCTGGAACCTGTGCAAGCACAGCACATGCTGCATCACAGACTGTGGCCTCTCGCCATCCTTTCGAGTGAAAGGGAGAAATGACACACGCGGAGCTTCCAGATTTATCCTGGGTCAATAGGGATGGCTCGGCTCAGGCTAGGCCTCATGCAACTGTCAAGACAAAGCTGGTCCACATGGGCAATTTGAAACACACAAACAGGAGCTGTTCTTGCCGCTTGCTCAAAAATGAAAAAGGGGACATCACTAGATATAAATAAGGGGCCGTGGGAGATTTGTGGAAGCTGGGAAAGAAAGACTTCCCTTGGCAAAGAGAAACGAAGTGGACATTCATTCATCTTGGAAATTATGATTGAGGAACCCTCTTTTGGTGGAATATGTAACACATATGGTAGACCTTTTGAAGAATTCAGACTGCCACTGTTGGAAATCTTTTGGAGAGAAGGGAACAATTGTTTAGTGTGACATTTCTGCCATTGTTGGGTTAAAAGTTGGGCTGTGCTTGTAAGGAAATCAAAGTAGGGAGAAATGGAATCGCTACACGGGGCCAGCAATTTTCACAAGCTGTTTCACACATCATCACAGAAGCACATGAGGCTGTCAAAGGACCACTTTTACCTGGAAGTGCTGTAGAGTCACCTGTAGGAGATCTGCCATCACGTGCAGAATCACAGCTCCAGAACACCACCATGTTATGATGGGCCCCATGTGGAGGCGCTAGTTCTTGCCAGCACCTCCAGGCAAATTGGCCCAGTCACACGAGAAAACAGACGTGTGGCTGTGATTTGAACACATTCCGCACCCAACTCAACAAACGTCTTTGAACGCAGCAAATATGGAGTCAGTCCATCCCCATGTCCCTAACAGAGGTGTTCACTCATAAATCCATGCTAGCCTGTTCCTACATAATTTGAAGAATTAAAAAATCCACAACAAAAAGCGTTCGTTGCAATACTTTCCTATATTACCCGTTGTTAAATCTCACCAAAATTAGCCATGCAAGAAGCTGTACATTTGATAATGAGGCCAATTCCATCTGCCATGTTCCATCACATAGTTTGGAGAACATTGCGTCATTGTTTTGCACCATCTTCTATTTCCAATTTTGGATATATCAGAACAATTTAGCTGCAATCTATTTTTTATACTTTGGAGCTTTCTTGGCTTATGGCTCAGAGAAATAAACAAACTGAACATTATTAGCTGCAACAACAATGCGTGCATAGCTATGAGAGTCAATTGAGTTTCAGTCTAACTCTCACATGAGGGGGAATCAAACTTACTGGACACCAGTAGATCAGGAATTGCTGCATTTGGCACCTTCCTATGTCTATGAAACTACTGCAGTCTAAGAAATATCATGGAAACATTCTCAGATTAAAGCTTCCCTGTTTGGGAGACAGCAGCACTAGGAACATGCGAAGCTCATTTTCCTGTCAACAGGTCATCAGGATTTCAGGCAAGTTCCTGGAGATGCCAGGGGCTGAATCTGGGACCTTCTGCATCCAAAGCAGGACCTCTGCTGTGGAACTACAGCTCAAGGATGCGTCTGGAGCAAGCCACACTTCTTTCATCTGTAACTCCTGATCACTCATAAATATGTTATTAATTTACAAATACAAGTGACAACACAGACAATAAAAAGACCCACTACAATTCTGCCCACAATGAAGATCTAAATTGCACTAATAAATAAAAGCATTTTCACCATCTCTTGAGAAGCGAGGGGTGGTGTTTTAGGACAATATAAAAAAAAGTGACAACCCAGGGCTCTTTCACATTTTATGCCACCATTCCTCAAGCTGGTGCCATCTAGATGAGTTCAACTACAACTCCCATCATTCCCAACAAGCACTGGCTACTGGAGATGCTGCTTAGCCCGGAGCATGCTAACGTTGGACAATGCATATAACCTGCTTGGTCCACCTGGCAAACTCTCCTCACGTTCGTAATGGTACACAGTTCAAATATATTTGGTACACAGATTAAAATGCACCAAAAACCTGCAATGAAGCCCTTGGAAAAAGACCCATTTGCTGAGTTTAGTCTCAGAAACCAGCACAAGTTACAAGCTCAGTGCAGGTGCAGAACTGCAGCAGCAAAGACACTGGCACTTGTTACTGCTGGGGGACTCTGAAAAAGCTTCTCGTTCATAACGCAAGCATTTAGACCTTCATGGTGTGTAGACACTTCCCATCTGCTAGCAAGACCGGCAGCTTTCACTATATCCCACCCTTTTATGACTTTTACCTAAGCAACAGCTCTTAAACAGCTGTTTAAGAGAAGGGACCCATTGATGGAACTGTGCCTTTATCCTGGAAATCCCAAAATCAAACTCCCTCTCCGCTGGTTGTCCAGGACGGTGCCCTTCCTGCAGCCTGGCCGCAGTCCTACAGACACCGATCTGGGAATAGGTCCCCCTGAACTCCGTAGGATTTAGTTTTCAGTAAATATATATTGGATTACACAGCCTCTGTTAGTCTTCTACAAGTAGTAGCAATATATGGTACAAGTAGTTGTATCAGGGGTGTTTTTAAAAAGAAAAACCAAGCATTTTGAAAATAAGCATTTTCTGGTTTTTAGAACATTGGTCTATGTGAAAGAGGCAGTTAAAGACAATCCTGACCTCCTGTTAAATACACGCACGCACATGCACACAAATATTAGTTTTTCAAAAACTATTTGAAGTTTGACACTGTTCTAGGTTTGGCAAAACTAGTGTTCATTACATGACATCACCCAAAAGGACAACTGAGTGAGAACTCGGTTAGTCAGACCAACACATGTAAACAAGTAGGCTTTGACAATACTTTCAAACTTGGTCCAAAATGCACCGATGGATCCACCCAATGCTAATCAGGCTAATGCCAATCAGGAATACAGTGTTTGGTGGATTGTACCCAGTTCCAATTCCCTTCAGGTTGATTTGGGGAAAGGGATTTTGCTGGTGCTCTGGGTCTGAATTACCACCATATTTGAGCTCAGGAACAATGCTTTTTGCCCACCAAAATAACCCCAGAGTTGGGAGGAGAGTCAGATAGCTTGACTTTTTCTCTCAGTTCAGACAATGCTGAACTATGGTTAGGAGGCCTGATATCTGAATTAGTAAACCACCGTTTGCAATCCTTCGGGAAACCAGTATCAGAAACCATGATTTGCAGAGGATTACAAACCATAGTCTATGCAGAGTCAACACACTGTACTTAGGGGTGTTGGTCCCTTCGAGAGGCACATGTACCATAAAATTAGAAAGGGAGAGCAGACGGTAAATAGAAGCCACTCTAAACCATGGTTTGCTGAGCAGAGAAAAAAAAATGAAAGCAAGCAGGCAACTTCAAACTATGTTTGTCTGCATATGAGAACATTCCACTTGTGTGCTTCAGTGTAATTAGCACAAACCATGGTTTAGGGTGTTGTCTGAATGGAGCCAGCATGCAATGCGTCTCAAGCTCTTCTGTGCAATGTACCTTCTCTCTGCTTCTATGGCACGTCGTAGTCTGATTTTGATCCATTTGGTGGAGTGCACAGGAGGAGGAGGAGGAGGATACTGATTCTGGGACTGATAGCTTGTAATGACCACTTGGCCTCCTTTCAACCACCTAAGGAAGGTACATGGTGGCCTGTACAGACATGGGGCAGATCCAACCCTCCTGTGAGACAAAATGAGGTGGCAGGCTTTACGAGTGGGAGAGAGACGGTCCGAACCCATCAAGCTCAATCCACCAGGGGGTTCCCATCCATTTCAGTGGGATTTGTGCAGGAGAACTTCCTGGTGCATCAGGCCTTGTCTGTTAGCTGGGAGCAGGGAGCCCCATGCCTTGGGTGGAGTGGGGCCAGTTCAGGGCAATCAGAATTCCAAGCATGAATGTACATCTTGGCTTTATGTAATTAATTCAAACATGCTTTTCTTTAAGTGAGCAAGTTAAAGAAAATCAGGCTGGAACTTTTTTTTTAAAGAGAGAAAGGGGGGATTAGGGCAGTGGAACAGGAGCGCCCCTTTTCTCAATGCTTTCCAGTGTCTTCCCTTAAGGCCAGTGAATTTTCTGAGCGGTGCTTTTTGACAGGTAGCGTGTCCACATCCTCCAAGACAGGTCTAGTGACGTTCCCCTTCTACACGCTTCTTGCGAACTAAAGAGAGAAGGGAGTAGGGAAAGAAAGCAGAGCCTGATGTCAAAATTTTGTACCATTTATGCGTTGCAAGTAGTTGATTAACAGTTGTAATGGTATTTGTCTGATATTGGTCTTTGTCCCTTCCTCCATGAAACTGAATGCAACTTATGTGGAGTTTTAACATTTTGCCATTACAACAACCCTGTGAGGTAGAGTAGGCTAAGAGACAGACATGCCATGAGCTTCAGAGCTGAGCAGACCTTCAGATCTCCCTAGCCCAAGCCCAGAACCACCAAATCTACCATAATCTGCCATAGCAAATGAGCTTCACCTCCTTTTGAAACTTATTACAGGGCTACTCTACATAAGCAGCAGAATGAGAGGTTAGAACAGAAGATGGCGCTTTATTGACTTATTTAAAATAACATTCATTTATTAAAATCTATTTCTACCTTGCCTTTCCAGGAAAAAAATATTCAGGTTGGTTTACAGTATCGCCAAACACTAAACATCCATCAAATACACCTGCTGAACCAATCAAAGAGGAAAGAGACAATTTAAAAAATTTGAAGGTGAATGCACCAAGGAAACTGCACGGTGGGTCACATAATTTTCACAAGAAACTAAGTTTAAAAAGGGCCTCAATGCAGAAACCTCTGGGCTAGCTTCTCCCTACAGCACTATTTAATATTATTTATGCAGAGGATTTCATTTTGGTTTTGTCCAGTGATGATAACCATCCTGCCATCAGAAAAGCCTGGTTTTAAAAAAAAACCTTTTAGCAACCTTTGCTTAGAATGCTAATTATGAAAAAACAAGGGCCAGAAGTAACATTAAAAAGCTGCCTTCCCTGGTCCATGGAAATCCAGGGGACTTTCCCAGCATTCCCTGGAGATGCTTGGAAGTGACTGTGAGGCCCATTCTCTGGGTCAATGAATTTAAGGGTCAGATTCACTGACCTGAGAGCAGTCAAAGCTCTCCCAGTGAAAGGCAGGGAGAAGAGGGTCCCTTGCCTGGAGAACGGTGGCGATCGACAAGGCTGCCTTGCCGAATGAACGGCTCCTCAAAGAGCTTCAGAGATTTTGAGCGGGACACTTAAAGCGCAGGGGAAACGCAGTTCTCCCTAAACTGAGGCGACTGTGGCAGCTCATTGTCGTGGTGTTTTTCCAAACCACGGAAGGGAAATACACTTAGCCCCATAGCCTATTTTTACTTACTCACATTATTTAACCAAGACAGAAAGTGTCAGAAAATCCAAACAAACCAGTCCAAACGACGGCTGAAATACCAGGAATGAGGCCGTCACTTCTTTGGCGGGATATTTTTGGACGATATTTTTGTTCTGCCGCAGGTTGTCCGACAAAGGCCAGGTGCTATAGCTTAGCTTGAAAGGGAGCTGTAATTGTGTGAGTCTGTGGCTAAACTCAGAAGGGGAGCTGCCAATTCACAATGTATATTTGAACCCACAACCTGATGCCATCCAAATATCGATATGATTGTCCCATATCCACCATTGAACGGAATCCCATTGGGTTTCAATTTTCATAAAAGCAAAAACTTCCCCAACACATTGGAGAGAGGAGTATCTATATTGTTTCCCAGCTGTTCTGGCCCATCTCCTTTCCATTCCCCTTGGGGAAGCAGCCCTGGAGTTTCTTGCTATCATTACTGATTCTACTAAGTATAAAGTATCATTTTGGTTTTGGGAGTGACCAGCCCAACAGAGGCAGGAAAGTTCAGCCTATCCTACCTCACAGGGTTGTTGCTGTGAGGATAAAATGAAGCTATGTAAACTGCCTTTTGTTCCTTGCAAGAGGAAAAGGGCAGGATATAAATGCAATGTAGTAGTAATAGCAGTACAAATAATGATAATGATAATGCAGAACACCATGTAATAACAATAACAACAGCAAGTGATGGCATTTCTGTTGTCTGAAATTTGGACGCAAGAGATGGGATTACCACCACTGCACAAAATTGTAACTCTGAGAAGCGCTTCTGCAGAATGAAGTTTGACACCTGTACCAGAAGCAGCAATTTACTTCTCAGTGAGTTTCATGGAAAAACGTGGCTTTGGGAAACACTTAAGGAAGCTGCAACCTTACCTAGGTCATTATTTTTTGTGATGGCTGCTGCTACCCTGGTTCTTGGGCCTTGCTTTGTAAACTGGTACCCAAATTTGAGAATCTGCGAGTTTTCCTCCAACATCTGAGCTATCTCCATCTCCACTGCGGTGCCAAGCTGTTGCCTCTGGACAAGGAAGCAAAACAAGGAGACCCGTTGACCCGCGAAGGAAGGAGAGCAGTGCTTGCTCTCCCGTCATTCCCAATTGGAACACAACTGCAGCAGCAGCACCAGCAGGCATGGGCTTTACGTGCAAAGGAAGCCCCTGCTCAAACTGGCTTGGCTAAAACTGGCTCTCAGCACGAGCTTTGATGCTACAAACCAGCTTTTTTCGGACTAACAGGCTAGGACTGATGAGCTGGATCAGTACCGTGGTGTGAGAGGAAAGAGGCTTTCACCCTGTACCCGAACCACATCCCGGATGGAATCCCTCCCCCTCTGCTGGGACTCTGAACATGCCACCAAAGGAATGTTTTCCCCTCCAGCCATTCTATATATCAGGCTTTTTTTCTTTTTCTTTTTTGCAAGGGAGGGGTCCTAATCCGAACCATCACAGGGACCAAGCTTTAAAACCCTCTTCCCACCAAAGCCCTGGATCGAATCCAACGTTCCCCTCCCAGTACTGTGCCAGCCATTTACAATAATCCATTGTGCAACACCAAATAGTCCTATCCAGGCCCTAAATTTAGATATGCAGGGAGAGAAAAAGCGAGGGGGGATGGGTGATAGTTAAATATGTGCAATTGGAATTCCATGTATTTCGGTTTTGTTGCCCATGCAAATACAAACTAGATGGAGGCCTTATTCCCGTGAGGAGGAGGAGGGCTTCAGTCCTACCCCAGCCCTCATTACATTCATCACCCTCTTTGTGGGGGAAAAAAATTGACAAAGTTTCTCCACACAAGCCAGAAATCTGTATCAGGCTCCCCTCTTCAGATGGCCCCACTCTGTGAGTGGAGGGCAATCGATGCCACAACTGAGAAGGAGGGGATCGGCAGGCTTTTCATCACGTGATTGCCGTATCAAAGTACGGGACGCTTAATTGGGGCTGGAACGTTGATCCAGCGCAGTTCAGAGCATGAAAAATAAATCCCAGCTTCAGAATGTTACATTTCCTCACCTAGTCCCAGTGAGAGCTATTAGGCTGTTGGGTTTTATTTCCCAAAGAAAATCAACCATTTCCAACCAGTCCAACTTCAGCCTCGACACCAGACCACAAAAGTATCCTTCCATCCAATTTTGACTCCTCCGTACTTTCAGGGTCTTGGCAATGCTGCATTCCAATTAACTGCCCCTTTCCTTACCTGATTGTCAATTTTGATCTCTGTCAATGTTTTATTCTCTTTCAGTGCATCAATCAAGGCAAGGATTCCTGTCCCAGTAATGAAATTGGATTCTATATTCAGACTTTTCAGGGTCTTGTTCACTTTTAACATATCTGCAAAAGCCTGCAGGGATGAGAGGAACTGTGAGAGCTGGGAACTCAGGAGAAGGAGGATTTCTACGTAGTCAGTACTGAGTATGGCCCCTTCAAAATATAGCCTCCTGCCATGGGATAAATAGCCAGGAATTCCCAAAGGTGGAGGAGAAGCCTGGGACAATTCCCCCCAGGCCGGTCATTCCATGAGGCAAGGTGAGGTAGATGCTCGGGCGGCGGATTCTGGGAGGTGGCCGCAAAGTGTCAGAGGACAGAGCTGCATGGCATGCCCTGTGTTCTCTAAGCAAACCTGCTACCTTCAGGCGTGGCGGAGAATGATGCTACAAAGTCCAAAGAAAGAACAGACTGTCAGTGGCTTTGGAGGGAGGTTCGGGTTGGGGTCTGAGGCTGGCCCTACACTTCCTGTTTGCAATATTGCAAAATGTAAGGATGCTCTTCTAATCAAATGGTCAGATTTATTTTGTTTTAACTCTACTTCTTCATCAGTTGTTCCCCTTTATAAGAGGGGTTTTTTTTAAAGAAAAGAACACATTGTAGTAGCAAAAGCGCAACATAAACAAAGTCTAGCATTCATTCATTAATTACACAGGACGTGTAATTCAAGATGGCTGCGAGCAATGCCCGGAAGGAGCTCAAAGGTGATATCCAAGAGAAGCTTGCTTAGAGAAAGGGCTCCCTTCGGGGTTGGCCTGTACCGAAGCCACCGTTTCAGACATTCTAAATGGAAGCATGGCAAGAAAAAATGACGGAAGATTGCTCCGGTATTTGCAATGTAGATTTCCTCCCGAGCTTCAGAGAAGTTTTCCAGTGGGAGTGGGCTCAGTTCCCATGCCTGCAATGGCCCTCATAGTGATCATACCTCCCCTGTGCTTATTTGCATTTACAAATGCATATCCCTGAGTTGCACGTACATTTCTCATCTCTTTGGCACGCCAAATAAAATCCACAGAACAAGACCTTATGCAAGTATCACCAACATGCTTGAGGAAACATCTCTAACGGGCCTCCTTGGGCAGAAAGGCCTCGCATTGCTTTCTACAAGATTAGGGCTCCGTTAGGTCTCTTCCCCTGAGCAGTTCTGCGGACACAACTGAGAAGGCTCTGCTGGTCTTGCGAATGCTCTCCCACATGCAGGGCCTTGCAGAAGCATTCGCCCCCTTTGCCAGTTCTTTTTGCTGACTTGTGTGCCTCCATGAAACTATCTTGTGCCTTTGCAACGTTGATTCTCTTACTTGCGCAAGGGGTAGCCAGGGCAGTTTAGTACCTTTCAGTTCCAGATTGCAGCAGAAGGAAATGCAAAAAAAGGCACGGAGGGGGGGCTTCTGCAAGGGACTGCAACGTGAGGGCTGCCCTCCTGACCCCACAGCTGGGGTGCTGAGCCCCCTTTGGTCTGAGGACTGGGGCATCCCAGGGTGAGCAGGGCCAAAGGCAAAGGAGGTAAAGACGAAAGACCCCAAACATCACCTGTTTTGACTCAAGCTCTTCCTGCCAGTTCCTGAGTCTTAGAAGAGGCATTTCCAGCTTCAGGGAGGGTGAGGAACCCCATCTGATCTTTGCGGAGAAGGGACGGTGACCATCTGGAGAAAGCAGACAGGGGGTCCGGGTGCAGCTCAAGCACCTGCGTTTCTGGACTCCTACCCCAGGAGTGGAACTGAGCAGGAGGGAAGCTGAGCAAATGCAAGCTCAGCCCATGTAACCAGTGGGGTATTTTCTCTGCAGGCAGTTTAAGAAACAGAGCATGATGGGATGGAGAGGAGAGAGGGATGCTGCACTGAGGATGCCCTTGGGCAATTCCGCATACGACTGCAGTTGACAAAGAAATGCACCTTAGGAATCAAAGGCCTTGGGAGCCTAACTGAGGGCCCTGGTGTGACTAGCATGCTGAATGAAGGCCTCGGCTTCTCTCACTCCCATTTGGGGGACTCAAGGTGCCTTTTTCCGCAGTAGGGCAAGCAGGAGCACAAAAGGCGAGGGATTCCTGTTGTAGAATTGCAGTGAGAGGGAGAGCTCTTCCCGATCCGTTTTTGCTCGGCCTGCGGCTGCTTAATGCAGGAATTCCTATCTCTGCCTTCACGCCCCCCAAAAAGAAATGTGATACTGCTGCATAGTAAGTGAATTCCAGGATAAAGACATCCCCCCCCGAGAGAAATCTCATAGACCAACTCTCAAAAACTGCCTTCCCAGCAGGACATTTGAGTCTCCCCTTCACTGGACAGAATTGATCAGGATTTCCAGCCTGCAAGTATTGTACTTGCCCGTCGGTCCGTCTGCCTGCCTCTCTTTCCCTCTACCAAATGCACAACTCCGTCTGCATATAGCCAGCAGTGTCAACGAAAGGTTAAAATACATCAATACAATTTGAAGGACTACAAGTTTTTCACAGTACAGTTTGCTCAACTTACCATTGCGACAGGGTCGTTGCTCCGTGTAGCTGCCAGGCTGAATTTTGTCACATGGGCATTTGTTTCCAAAGCCTTTGCAAATTCTTTCAGGGTTGGTATTGGGATATTCTATAATGTAGAGAAAATGCAAGCATCGCTAAAGTGGAATGGATAATGGGCTGGATCTAGATGTGGTCAGACTCAGTGCTGCCCTACTGAAATCACTGACGGTTAAGCTAGGCATGGCTTGTCCCATTGATTTCAATGGCCTAGTCTAGGCACAACCATGTCTGGATCCAACCCACTAGCTTTTAATCTCAATAAAGGAGCAATCCTGTGCATGTTTAGAAAGCAGACAAGTCCTGCAGCATCTGACACAGACTAAGCCAAACTAATAAAACTTCATGAAGAGTCCACTTAAACAGAATCGCCTGAACGGGGCAGGAAGAGCTAAAAGGGGTGGAGTGGGGAGCAAACAAATGCCAGGTAGCCACAATAGGACACACATAACAAGATGGCCACGCTTCCTCTTTTACGGTCCTCTGTGTGAAGGGCTGCCCAGTCCTGGTGCAGAAACCAGGCAGGGCCTTGAGGTTGCCCATCTGCACTTCGCGTCTAGGCAGCAGAGCATGCGAAGCACCGAGAGCAGCTGATACAGCGGCCTTCCCCACTCAGAAGGCATGCATTTAATTACTATTATAACCATTATTCAAAATGTCCACCTGCCCACATAAATTAGCATAGCACATTTTAAGCAAATGTATATCTTCTTTTTGATTATGCACATCTTCTTTTTTGGCATTTCACAAGCAAACTGGTATTTCCCTCACTCCATTTGTTAGGCCTGGCTCTGAAGACTTCTTCTCCCCTCCGAAAACTTGCGGCTTGTCACCTAAGTCAAGCCTTATTGCTGACCTAGGAAGTTTGGCCATGCCAAAAGATAGTGCGGTTAGGGAGTTTTTAAGCCTGGGATTCCTACGTGCAGATCTGCACAGATCTGCTGGATTCTGCACAGTCCAACAAGCTCTTAGTATCTCTTCCTCCATTCCTTCAAGGAAAGGCTCTAGAGAACAATTGCAGACCACCTGGAAGTGCTTCCCAAATCCCACTGGTGGAAAGGGACCATTCCAGTCCATAGCATCCAAAGGAATACCTTGATGTTATTCAAATTGACTTCCACAAGCGTAGGATCATTTGCTTTCATTCGTTGCAAGCTGGATTCAACATTTGTTGGGTTTGGTGGTTCCTCAAAAACGGGCTTGACCTTCTCACCTTTGACCACGTCTGGGGAAAAGCCAAACATGAGCCAGTGATGCTTTGGAAGACCACGCACTCGTAACAACCAAGTGCCATTTTAAAGAAGATCTCATCGGTGTCTGCCTCAAGAGATGGTCCGTAGTCACACAAGCAGCCAGTCACCACCCATCCATTAGTGGCTTGCCTCCCTCACTTCTACGGCTCCTAACCAAGTGACCTTTCCTCCCAGCTCCCATACTGCAGAAAGAGTCTTTCCTCCAGCTTTCTCTTCCTCTCACTTCTCTTGATGGTTTTCTCTAATACCTGGCTGCTTTCCCTGGCTGCCGACTCAGTGAAGCCATGGCTCAGAGGCAGAGCAGCGATCTTGCATGCAGGAGGCCCCGGGATCAATCCCCACCATGCCAGGCAGGGCTAGAAAAACTCCTGCTTGAAGCCAATGAGTTAGGAGATGGCGGCTTCCTAGAATCTCGTTTTGCCTTTTCAGGTCCGTGCACCCACTTTTCGTGGATGGACCACTGGCCTGCTCCAGCACGGCTGTTCCCACGTTCTCTTGTTCCTTGGCCTGTGCTTCAGCCAATGGCAGCAAGAGATGCTGCTGCCTTCCCATCCCCACCAGGGTTTCATCATGGTGACTACGGAATCCCAGCTCTGGCATATCTCCTCCTCCTCATGAAGGCATCCTCCTAGGAGGAGAGGGACGAGGCATGCCCTCTGGTTCTCCAGAACTAAGGAACAGACCTTCACTTCCAAGGAGGATCCACCTGCACCATCCATCTCTTATGTCAATGGTCCGGTCTCAGAATTCAATTTAGTGCTTGTGAAAGTGCCACATCTGCACATTCTATACAATAAAAGCATCAAAAATGTTCCCACCGCCAGCCCATTATTTGTTAACCCTTTGAGGGGCCTTCCTTGAGAGAGGGAGGGAGGGAGGGAAGCCGCAAGCAATTGCGAGAAGCTCTGATTGTTCCTAGAGGTGTATAAAATCATAGGTGTATCATAGTTTTTTGCACTTATTTGCAATTATTATTCTTCAGACTAGCAAGATGAAGAGCAGCCGCAGGCCATTCAGGAACTAGGAACTGGACAGGCAGAATTTCAGTAAGCAAAATTCTGACCTCCCAGGCAAATACAAGTCCCCTTATCAATCTGCCTGGTCACTGCGGTCATCAGAGGATGATCTGGCGGCTCTGCATGGACCTCTGCCCGACTGGAGTTGACCGGGAGCAGCGCCTTCAGAGTGGTGGTCCCATTTCTGTTGACCAACCTGCCTCCAGAAGTCATGCAGACGCCACCATTGTGTTGCTTTCAGCACCTCCTGAAAACATTCCTCTTTTGGGAAGCCTTCCCTGACTTATCAGCCACAGTTTTTAGGGATTATTCTGTTTTAATAGAGTATTAAATTCGTTTTCCCTTCTTTTTATTGGTGACTGTTGCAGAATCCATCTAGATGCGCAGCAGTAGATCCAGGTTGTAAATAAAGAAATACAGATTCTCAAAAGACTTTCCAGAGGGATAGCTCTGTTGGACTTCCAGCAGATGTGCCCAAGGGTCTCACAGCATCTCCAAGCAGAGATGCTGAACCCATCCAAGCCTATGGGTGGAATTTCAGAGAAGCTCTCATAGGCTGCATCAGAGAGGTGGGTAGGGCCAGAGGCACAAGGAGCCCATCAGATGCTGCTATTGGGATATTTTAGCCTTCAGCTCCTCCAGCCAGTGACTAGACCTTAGGAGAGGCATTTCTACCATTTCGAAGGGATGTAGGGGGTGGATGGGTGGGGTGAGAATCACACAAAACCCAACCAGTTGGGCAGGGGGAGAAACTGAATGTGTTTGTGATTTCAGGAATGGAATGTGGCCATCAAGGGACCTTCTGGGAGGTCAGATTCCTTAATTAATTCTGTGTTCTCTCTCAGTCGTGAGTTGTGGAGCCTGTGGGAGGACTGGGAGACTCAGAGACATGACGCCTTTTCGGGGATGGCTTTTTACAATGTCCCCTCCCCACTCAAAAAAAAAAAAAAGCATGGAGAAGTCTCCTGAGCTTTTCCATTCCCCTCTCCCTGTTTTTGTCCCCTTCCCTGGTCTTCCTATGTCTGATCATAGACAAAAGCAACAGTTCTTCTCTGTTGGGTTATTTGTCCCACTTCCAGTCCTGCCTTTCCTTCGGGTGACACAGGTTCCCCTCGCTGTGCCTCATCTTATCTCATAAGCGCAATGGGAGGTAGATTTGGCTCAGCAAACACTCGCCCACCCCGTGCACTTCGAAAGTGTGGGTGGACCCGAACTCCAGTCTCCCCTTCTCCAGCCAGCGCCCCACCAGCTCTTTCCTTCCATTCCCCTCTGCCTGTCATTGTCAGTCTTCCTTGGTTTTGATCATCTTGCTTAAGTTACAAAACACCGAGATGCGTTCTTTACCGCCCCCGGGCCTTCTAATTTAAAAAAACCCTATCCGCTAGGAGTGTTGCAGGGGGAGTATTGTTTTTGGAACAAGGTTTCCTCACCACGCAAATTCCTAGTTGCTAAATTCACGACTGGAGCCTAAAGCTCGCGATCCCTCCAAGCTGAAATGTGGGACTTGTGCAAAAAGAAAAGAGATCACGGGGCGGGGGGGATATGAACCAGCAGCATCAGCACTTGCTGGGTTGCAGCACACCGGCCTCTGGCTGGGAGGCCTGAAACAGGCAGCCTCCATTTGGATGGAAGAGGGATGGCAGACCTTCCTCCATCCTTCCTCTGCCTCCCAGGAGCATTTGAATTAAAAATGTGGGAAGACAACTGGAAATGCAGTTGATCTTGCACAGGCCCAGAACGCCTTCTCACACGGTCCTGTGGGTTGTTGTTGGTTTTGTTTTGCTAACACTCTTACATTTTAAAAGAATAGCTAACTGATTTGAAAACCTTATCTTATGTTTACGGTAACAGTATACATCATTGTTCATTATAACGTATTATGTATACAATACTGTATACAATACATGTATACAGTATGTGTCATTGTAATGCAGTATGCATCGCTGGGATGATTTCATTGCGTTTGTGCCCTGCCTTTCCCAAGGCAACTTCCATGATCCTCTTCTTCCTCTCCAATTTTATACTCGCAACATCCCTGCGAGGTTGGGTAGGCTGAGAGTCAGGGACTGCTCCCGTGTCACCTGGACTGGAACCCCTGTCCAACACTCTCCCACGCCACCACACTGACACCCAAACCCTAAGCTGCACAGCCGATCGAGAAGTGGCTTGCATAATCCTCCTTCCCATGTTATCTTCCCAACAACCCTGCAAGGTAGGTTAGGCTGAGAGTCCGGCCCCAGTCACCCAGGGCACTTAATGGCTGAGTTGGAACTAGAACCAGATCTCATGAGACCCCGTCCAGCACTTTAACCACCATACTACACCGGCTTTCACAGATTTAATTTCGATTATATGCTGTATTTTTGTGCATCTCTTAGAAATATATTTATGTAAGCAATTCATAAATACCATAAAATAAACACATCAAGAAAGCTCCACTTCCGCCACCACACAGTTCAGTTGCCCTGTTGTGTTGCTCAAATCTGTGCGACCCTCAATCAAGTGCGTCTACTTACTTCTCACAGTTTCTTTGCCATCTTTACCAGTAGTTCCCTCATCAAACTTTGGGTTGTTGACCAAATTGTGCACTCCAAGGACAGCTATAAGCACAGAATAAATGAATAAATATCTCAGCAACAGAGATGAGATGATGCAAACCGTGAAACAGACGTGAAAAACAAAGACAGCAACAAACCTGCTAGATCGTACAGCTCGGTATCCGAGGCACTGGCCAGCGCGTCCTCTAATTCAGGTTCGAGAGTCACCTTCTCCTCAATGTGAGTTTCTGTTGGTCTTTCTTTAGGGACAAACACTTTTCCTTAATTTTAAAAAAAGCAAGTAAAACTGATTGAATTTGGTGGTAGCAATGCCACAACCACAATGACAGCAGAAGAATTCATCATTTCAGCTAGGGATGTATAAGAAATTCACTTCCTTTCATTCTTTTTACCTGCATTCCACCAATTTCCAACTTCCAGACTGAACACAGACTCAAACATGGTCTGTGGTTGAAGCTGCCTCACTTCCAAATTCGCAATATGATTCACCGACAATGCCAACGTGTTTTCCAGCAAGAATACATTTGAAAAATACGCATGAAAAAGGCAGCCTTTTGAAAAGGCTCACAAAGCTGGGAGAAGATGGTATACATTTGGAAAAAATACGCATGCTTTTATGTAGAAACAAAATCTGATTCAGGCTTAAGTACGGGTGGAATCTGAGACAGCGTTTGGCTGATTCACACGTTATTTTAGCACATGGAGCCCATTCTGAGAGGAAGTATTAGAATGAGTGTCGAACGATCTGATGGAGGTCAACATTTACAGGTGAATGAATCCTTGCAATTCCTGGCCGATTTTGTCCATGTTCGAACACAGCTGGACCTCGTCTCCACTTTTCAGGCCTGTGGCCATAAACGCTAACAATGGCTCTGAGGTGGCAAACATCATTCGCTGGTGTATCTCTTGAGCTTTCAGACATTCACAGAATTGTCAACACTCACGTGAGAAAAAGATGCTCACCAAATGTCAGGATCTGCTCTAATGTACATAAATTATCCAGAGCCACACTATAAAACTCAAGTTTACAAATGCAGCCTTTATGAGGTGGTAGCCATTGCGACACCCTGAGAATTTTGTTTGGCTCTAGCACAGTTTAACCTTAAAGGTGAGTCTCTGGACTGCCTACACCTGCCCTGGCTGTTTTTGCAGGCTCCACTGCCATGGCCAAATAGCTGCCACCAAATAAATAGATAAATAAATAGAACGGGCCTTTGGGCTTGAAAACAAGTCACGCGCACCCTGTGAACAGAATCACACTCGCAGAAGCCTCTGAGGATCATACTTTTGCTTCCAAGCAAGGCCTTTCGTTGCTGCTGCATCCCAGAATGTTGGCAGCAAAACCTCAAAGGCTTGCGCCTTGTTTTATAACCTTTTTGATGTTTCTGACAAAGGTATTGATGTTCTGTAGTTGCAGTGACCCTGTGGCTCTCCAAAGGATATTGGACTTCAACTCCTCTGAGCCCCAGCTCATGCGAACACTTGTCAGAAGGAGGGAAGTCACTGTCCGATAATACCTGTATGGCCAAAGAGTACCTGCCCCTTGCCTGCTACAAATTCAAGCGCTTAACATCCTCTTAAAACACCTTTAACAGTCATTCGTTTTTCTCCAAGGCCAGGCATGATAACATCTGGGCTTTACTGCATCTTGGCCTGACTTCCCCACCAACATGATCCCCAGAGTCCCGATGACAACAGAGCTGAGGCAACCTTCAAAGCTATTAAATCCTGTTTTTACGAGTCAGATTTTAAAGGCATGGCTTTCCAAGCATCTGGCACTGGGCCAAAAGCATCCCTCTGTAGGAAAATTCCACTATGCAGAAGCTTGTAAAAAGCCAGCCACACGCAGCTTCTCAAGCGGCGTTCCCACACAGCCTCTTGCCAGCTGAGCACCATACTCTGGCAGAGCCTCACCTCGGCAGAACAACCTGCACGTGTTTTCTGCGGGGATTCAGCTAACACGAGCTTAATGCCGAACCAGAGCGCGAGCTTAAAGGAAACTGAGAGGCACGGGGGGGGGGGGGGCATGACGAAAGGGATGTCTCACCAGCCACTTGTCTTGATGGGCTGGGATTGATCCTTGCGACCATGTGGGCCCAAGGCAACAGCCTGCAACAGCAACCCGCCTGAAGCGTGGCCTAGTAATCGCCTTGCTTTGAGCATGCCTCTGCCACACACGCAGGGTGCTTCCCTCGCTGGGCGTCGCGAGAAATGGCAGGGGCTTATCCTCACCTGAAGTTTGCAATGTCATCCAGACCAAAAATAATGCCTTGAGGAAGAGCAGGTGGAGGAAGTGCTCCCTTGGACCAGTGGAAGAACCATCAAGGTTATCCGTGGCCACTGGACCCTCATGGTTACCTCCAGCATTGGGGGCAGCATGCCTCTGAAGGCCACAGGCTGGGGGTGTGAGCAGGAGGGGCACTGCAGCCTTGGGGAGCTTTCACAGGCAGCTGGTGGGCCCTCTGGTCCGATCCAGCAGGACGCTTCTTCTGTTCTCATATTCTCTTCCTGCCACAGTCTGGGACTACAAGACCCAGAATCCCTGGTGGGAAACTGGGAATCTCCCTGTAATATCCAATCAAGCAATCATGGCAGATGCTCTGAAAGGACTTTTTAAGCATTAGATGTAAAGACTTGAAAAGGTCCAGGCACTTTTCGGGGTATACAGGACTGAAATGGCCATCCCTATTTTCATAGCCATTGTTTCATTAATATTTCCAACACCTTTGGGAGGTAGGCTGTACAACAGGCGGGAGGGATGCTGAAATGGAAGGACAGGAGCTTGTCTAAGTCCACCCAATGATGCCATGACCATGCACCAGTTATCCTACGCTTAACCGCTCTGCCGGGCCAGCTCAGTTTACACAGGGGTTACAACTCCCAGCATGGCAGTCACGACTTGGAACTTTTTAGGTGGTACAGTGGTGTAGTGGAATAACACGGCTACAGGGGCAGGGACTTGCCCTTTATTTTGTGATGCCCCAAAATGGTGGATTTTCCCTTCCCCAAGATCATCCCTCTTCCAAAACTGCTCCTAAAAATGAGAAGTGAAAATGGAGGACCCCAGCAGTACCTGAGCACATGTGAGCAGGTTCGGTGAGGGGGTTATGGTGAATACACAATAACCCTCCTATAGAAAAGTTCTTAAAGTAGTTGGTGGTAACATGAGATGGGGCAAGATCCTGCACACTCAACCAGCTTGCCACAGGGAGTAGCTTCCAATGCAAACCAGGTTTCCATTTTATTCTTCATACGTATTTGTTTTAACATGTACACCTGCTCTCCGTACCAGCAACTAACATCAATAAAAACCACACCTTACCATTGAACAATAGCATCAATCATTCCCATTTAAAAATAAAAAGACCAAAACAGCAGACAAAGAAAAGGGAGAACAAAAGAGCCTAGTTTAGGAGCCTGAAAACATCAACATCAGAAAGGCTGCCAAAACAAAAGCTTACTTAGTTGGTTCAGGACCAGTGAGATCCAGCCATTCTGGCTGCCACATTTTGAGTTAGCTGATGTTTTCAAACATGGTTCAAGGGCAGCCCCAGTAGAGTACAAGGCAGTAGCTTGAACAAGAGGACCACTGTGGTCTACAAGTGCCTACAGCTGAGGAATTCTTATTGCATCTGAAACCCATACATAAGCACATTTCAGTTCAGCTTTGATGAATCCCATTGCCTTGGGGTTGAGATGCAGGTGGATTTGGGCCTCTCCTAAGCTGGATTTGGCACCATCCCCATGGAAGACAGCCTGATTAGAGCATTAACAGATGCTGCCCGAAAATTAATTTGCTCTGCCCCAGCTTGGGGATGCTATTTAGTCACCATCACAGAACGATCCTATGCAAATCGGCTCAAAAGTAGGTCCAATCTGACATTGTTCCTTTCAGCTACAGAAGAAATAGATTATTGGAGAAGCGCATTTGGCCATATGTCCCGTGTCTATCCTAGGCACCCTTACTCAAATGGGTCCCACTCGATAGCCTCGCGCCTGTGTGAGTGTCTACTTGGCTATTTTTTAAACAGCTGGCACACTGCTTCTGTTCTCCCATTTCTTTTAAATATTACATTGAATGTTTTCAAATGCTGGCCAGTTTTGTTTCATGTAGCCCATTCTTTAGATTTTCCAGAACATGGCATTTAACAAGGAGCAGTTTTATACCCGTTCAAAGCAATGCAAGTCTTCACCCAGAAAAGCCAAATATTTCCCAGCTCTTCTCCCTCAGTCAGTTGCCTTAAAGTCAATTTCTCCATTTCCAGCCAAGGGATGGTCTCCTGGCTGGAAATGCCATGTGAGCCTTCAAGGGTTGGGAGGGGCCAGGCCTCAGTCATAGCTTTCCGAGCAAAAGGTCCCAGGTTCGATTCTTGGCATCTCTCGTCAAAAGTAAAGTAGGACGGATCTTAGGCACTGGGCATCAGAGACTTTGTACAGCTGCTGCTGCTCCGAGTAGACCATACTGAAGCAAATGGACCAACGGCCTGAGGCAGCTTGATGTGTTTATAAGAAATGTAACCTTTCAGGCTCTTGGAGGTCATCCAGTCCAACCCTGTACTCAGTATAGGATGGGGTTCCAGGATCTCTTCCAGGCGGCTTCCTACCCTAGCCAGGAATCAAGATCCAAATGGGATTGATTTTGACCCATGATATTTAGCTCCTTGTGCAGAATACAGCTTTCATTGGCTACTAGTTCTGATGGCCACTTGCTACCGCCAGTAACAGAAGGAGCAGGCATATATACCCCAGTTACTCGAGAACAAGGACAGAGGCGGCTGTTGTCCTCCTTGTCGGATTCCATAGGTGAGAAGTTGGCCGTTGTGTGGACAGAATGTTAGGCCAGCCCTGGTAGTTGCAGGCCTTCAGAGGTGTTTGGACCGCAACTCCCAGCATTCCCATCTGGTACGGTCATTGACTGGGAACCTTGGGTGTTGCAGTCCAAATGTGCCTGGAAGGCGCAAGGTTGGGGAAGGCTGGGCTAGACTAAATGGACTTTGGCCTGATCCAGTACGCCTCTTATGGTCACACACACACACACACACACACACACACACATATATATATATAGAGAGAGATTTTTCATAATTTCCAGACGTAGGAGCTCACCACAGAATGACAGCTTCCAAAGGAATGCATCAACCATACTTCATCTCAGAAAGTATGAAATAAGCTCTAAGAAGCCAGGAGCATCATATTCCTTTCCAATTCTGCCAACTCCCTGTAAAGCATTGGAATTTCTGTTTTCTGTCTCCTTCCTCCAGCTTATTTCACAACATAATCGAAACCGTACAGCTGGATTTATACATCTCCCCACCCCCTGAAACTGATTTTCATCTTTTTGACCCAGCTGGTTGCCAGTGGAGAGTTCTTTCTGGGCAAGAATTCCCCGGTGAAGCAATTTGTTTCACGCAAATGTCAAAAGAGCTGGCTCGGAGAGAAAGCAAGAAATAACGCTCGGCAGCCTTTTCTGGGAAGAAACAGATGACTGGCTTTGCAGACTGCGTCTGTGGCATTCCCCCTGCCCCACTGAAGTGACACATCCAACCTGGGCACAATTCCAGTCAGTAAGATCCGATGTGTGCGCAGTGGATTTGCTTTCTTCTAAAGGCTCCAAGTCCTGCCAGTTCACTCTCCCCACTTGCCTTCAAAAGTAGGCGAGTGCACTGCCCCCCCCCCTTCAAACAGAGGATCGTCCTCTGTAAAATCATCATCGGGAGGCATCATCGCCCTAACTCTGCAAGATCATTCCTTTATGCTAGGTACCATCGAAAGGAATGCAAGCACCGTCTGCTCCAAGCCAAGTGGAAAGCGAAGGCTTGAATTGGTGCATTTGTACAAAATTGCTGTTGTTTTTTAATAGTACAGTTGGAAGGGGCCAGAGGGCCTTTGGCTCCAATCCCCTGCTAAGTGCAGGGCACCAAACTGAATCATGCCTCTCAGAGGAAATCCCAGTTTCATTTGGAATGCCATTAATGTAGTTTGGCTCCCACTGATGGCTGGAGATAGACAGTAGGTGGGTTAGGGCTGGAGTCCTTCCATCCAGTTCAAGATTCCCCTGGTGTTGTGGGGCGGGGGGTGAATTTCAAGTAAACCTGAAAGAAGGAGATGCCCTTTTGCCATTTTGAGGGGGCCACCATGCTGAAGGAAGGCTTTTCCGCAGACAAGGCACTTGGCTGGCTAGAGAAAAAGAGTACAATAAATATTCGGGAGGACGTGTTTTCACAAACTGAGCATTAAAAGCCTGTGGCCTGGCATTGCTCTTCTGATGCCTGGCTGACTGCAGCAAGAGGCCACACAGTGAGTGCAAAGTGTGCCATTCTATTTGTTTATTTATTTATTAGAACGTTTCTAACAAATAAATTAATAAAGCATGACAGAAGCCATGCTTCTGTCCTGCCAGGCTGCAGCTCAGGGGTCCCAGCAGGGCTCCATTCGGTGCAGAAGCGGCCGGCGTTGATGATACCAGACTGGATGCAGCAGGACAGCACAGCAGAAGGTGGCTTCTGGCGTTCCTACGGATGTACATTTTCCTGAGAGTTTCAACCAAAGGGAGGCTCATGGATTGAATAAGGAAATAATTGTTTAGAGAGCTGAAATCAAAAGATCTCAGTTTGAGATCTGGAGGACTTTGGATGCTTCTGGACAGGGCTTGTGAGGGGCCATTGCTCAAGTGGTGAAGCCAATGTTTGGCACATAGAAAGTCGCAAGTTCGATTCCCGATATCTGCAGGAAGAGGAGTTGAGAAAGAATCTGCCACTCATGAAGGCAAACAGCTTACCTTTCTTTTCTCCAGTAAAGGGCACAAAGTCTTCTCTGTCTTGGTGCTCCAGGGCTTGTTTTTCCAGGTAGGACAGCAACCGCTCCCTGTCAAAAGGTCCCGTGGCAGGTTTACTGGTCTGGTCCTTCTGTCGGAAGCCTGCTGGCAGAAGTGCATTCTGCCGAAGTAGACAGGAAGAGATAGTAGCCAGTTCTTGAGCTTAGGAAGGCACATAAAGGCAAGTCTGACCTGGAAAGCAGCTCATCCTTTACACTGCCTGACTTTACCACCAAAATAATTCATGAACTAGCGTCCTCCCTTCACACATTCAAAGCCACAGAGCTTTCCTGCAAAACATTCTTGATTGACCAAAGCATTTTCCAATCACCCAGAAGGAATCTATGAGCATTCACAGAGTGTTTCATTGAACCCAATCTAGTAATTACTTCTAGGAACTCTCCTTATGAGTATTTGTGGAGCCCATCCTTTTGGGAGGGGCCTTTTGGAAATGAGCACCCTCCTCTCTGTACACCAAGCATCTAACTGAGCCATCCTCCTCTGCCAACGTCGCATCATGGGGTCAAGAACTGTGCCCGCCTTGTCGATCTCTGAGAAACTGTCCTGCTCTGCGCCCTCTCCTGCTCAGTGGACATGTTGGCCACTCCCAGAGGCTGCCTGTGCACCTGGGGAGTCTGGCCTTGAGATAAGCACCCCTGCCTCACTCAACATCTGGAACTGGCCCCCAGTCCAAGCCCACCCCCCCCCCGGCTTTTCCTCTGAGTCCCAAGCAGGAGGCCTTGAAAATGCATGTCTCTCTCACTCCAAACACCCGTGGCATCAGCCCAAAACACAGGTGTAAATTCTCCCTAGGAGTGGAACCACAAGCCTCCTAAAGCAGTCAACCTCTGTTGCAAAGGAAGGGCAAACACCACCAACCAGAAGGCTGAAGTCACACAGCCCCTTTCCACCACATTCACTGCCACCTTCATACGTGGCGAAGCTGTGAGCACATGCCGGTGATTTTCCAGCCGGATGGCAATGTGGTGGTCGGCAGGGAGATGTAAGGCGACTATCCCTGTAGTGACAAAGAGCATAATTTTGCCTGTTGTTTTCCATTCCTTTCCTTTCCTCTGTGTGTGTGCACACATGTGCAGCTGACCTCCCATGCTGTGTCTAGGGAAATCTGGGGAGAAGAAGGTGGCTGCTGGGGACATTTGCCATCCTTCCTCCTTGTCAGGATCTGGGCAGCTTCAGCGCTCCCCCTGCTGGCCAAGTACCCGAATAGCAGCCCTGGTAGCTGCAGGACTAGCATCTGCCACCTGAGGCCACTGCCCCATTCTGCCCAATGGCAGGGCCAGTCCTGACCACTGTCATTCAGTACACACCTCCGGATCCAAGTCGTCAAGAACATTCTCCAGCTGTTTCAGTTCATCTTCGGACAATTTGCTGAGGATCTCATCTTCGTTGATGTTCTTGTATTTCTCTAGCTCTTTCCGAAATGGGACCGACATGGCTCCTTCTCAGCTGGTTCCTTTAAGGCTTACCTGTCAACCATTCAAGAGCCAGTCTGATGAACACCTGTGCAGAAAGAGACTTTATCAGCATTCTCTATGATTTTAAGTTCAAGTGCAGAAATAGCCCTTTGGGGAAGGCTGCTGCATAAAACAAAATCCTATTGCCAATTCTGAGGTCTGCCAGATGTGACTAAAACATGCATCACCCCCAACCAAAATAGTCAATAGTCATCTGATTTGTGATAATGGGAGTTTTAGTCAAGCCATCTGGAGGGCAATGAGTGGGAAAGGCTAAGAGATAATGTAAGGAGATGAGATGAGATATAAAAGCCTGTACGTTTTTAAGTGTTCAAGGCAACAACCCTGAAAGTTTTATTTCCCCCCATATTCCCGATGGGGTGATTGAGAGACAGAATGAGAGATGCTTTCTAAAGGCTTCCTGACTCATAGCTTGGCTGCTTCACCATTTCTCATCACCTTTCTTTAAGAGCTAAAAGGAGCCTGTGCTCCATCTGGAAGTGTTTTCAATTCCGATGCAGGTCTGGCAGAAAATTATATAGTACACTCTCACACACCAAAGAATTTCTCATAGTAAGCAACTTGTGACAAGAAAGGTGTGTGAATGTATCTCTCTGGGGGTGAAAAGCAAGCAGTGGCCACTTGGAGTTCTGCATCATGAGCTGCAGCTCCTCCATGTGGTGAACCAGGGGACTGCAGGGGCAGCTTCTCAAGGAAGGAGCCCCCGACCCTGGACTGACCCCGTCCTCCCAGGCTGACCATTGAATCCACCTGAACAAGGAGGAGTATAACAACTTTCCTGTTGCAGGTGGAGATTTTCTTCTGGCATGGTCCTGGATCTTTGGTTCTGCCTCCTAACTCATCCTTGGTTCTGACATGGTCTTGATTCCTGGTTTCTTCCATGGGTCCAGGCTCATCTCAGACTGCCATGCATCTCCCACCCCTGATAGCCTAATCCAGAATGGGATTGTGGAGTGGGAAGGCAGCCTCTTCCCTGGACCGTTTTCCTGACTCGCACCCACTGCCCCACCCTGCAGCGGCTCACGACCTAAAGAGGAGTAACTCCTATAAATGCTTGCAGGAGACTCAAAGAACCGGTGATACATCCACAGATGTGCGATGCATTTTCGACACCCTCAGACTTCAGCACCAGTTACCTAACAAAAGTATCTTATTTTGGTTTTATTGTTTTACTGGTTGGAGGTGTGAGGTCCAGGAAAGTTTAACAGATGGACAAGGTTATGCAAAAACCTTGTGCACCAAAGAGAATTAGTATAATCCTTTGCAGTTTGGTGCTGCTAAACACCAACATTAGTCTGACAAATCTGATTTGATCCTTGTTGAAGTAACCCTTTGTCTCTAAAACTTTTTTTTCATTTTAAAGAAAAAATGCCAAAAACTTGACAGCCACACAAGACTATCTGGAGTGAAGATTCAACAACCTATCTAAACTCCGATGTATTTCTGAGCCAACAGAATCAAACTGCTCATTCTTCTAGCCAGCAGACATTTGCAAAGCTGAAAACCCTCTGAGGAGATTAATGCTTTTTAGTAAAGCATTATAAGATTTGAACGTGTTCATTACACTTTAATAATATCTAAATAAGTCCAGGCAAGCTGGACTCAAAGATAAGGAGACCAAGGCACTTGCAGTTAGTGGGGCTTTGAACAACATGCTATGGGAATGAGCCATGGGCTTCGGCACCCCCCCCCCCGTCCTTCCCTCCCATTCTTCCTAGTGACCATGAAGAACCATGGTTTGTTGTTACATTAATCCTGGAATTGTGGCCAACCACAGTTAACCTAATGTTAGCTACAGTTGCAGGCAGCCTTCTCCAATTCAGGGCTCTCCAGCTTCTTCTGGACTCCAATTCCTTTCATCCACAGTTTTCCCCATCTTCAAGAAGCAGGAGGGGAAAGTAAATCCAGGAAATGGCAGAGTAGTCCACCTGACATAAGTGCTGAGTAAGATTCTCATCTATGAAGTAATGGAGTACTAGGAGTCAACATGGTTCTGGCTTAAGAAAGTCATATCTGGCCAAATTTACATGGGTTTTGTTTTTTGATACAGTTACTGGTAGATCATGGGAATGCCGTGGACATTGGATACTTGATTTCAGATAATCCTTCGACAAAGTTTCCCATGGTATCTTTGTTATCAAGGTGAAACAGTGGGGCAGTGGTGTTGAAGTTCTTTTTCTATTGCAGTTCTTTTTCCATCAACCAATGCAGTTTGGATCTATCCTTCTGAAACTTTGCAGGCTTATTGTCTGGGGACACTAAAGAAATGCAAAAATCTTACTGATTTTTTTCTTGAGCTTTTTTTAAACCGACATTTAAAGGCACCTATCTGCTTGAGATTTACCAGGATCCATGTGCTCTGAAGAATACCACCATTTTTCCAAAGAGGGAAAGATGTATAGCCATTTTCAATTTCCAGTTACACTCATCAGGAAGCATAAAGCTTTAGATCTCCAAGTGAGATCCATATTTGGGCCCAGGCTGAATCGGTCCAAGGTGAATCGGTCCCTTTTCCAAATCAGATTCCAAACCAAATTGTTTGATCAGATCACATCCCTACCAAATCCTTGGTGTTGTGTGTAAAGTCAGTCAAAATTTCCTTGGACTGAGGCTGGTTCCATGACATCAATCTCATCCTAGCTGAGCCAAAAGCACTGCCTTTGAAGGGTGAGCACACACACAGGGCAAAAATGTTCCTACGTCTCTAGAGGAGAGAAAGCAAGACCTCCATTTAGCTTCCTGATGTGATCATGAAAGTCCATTCTGATAGGCGATTGTATACCATGATGTCGTCACACAACATTAGAGTAAATGTAATAATAATGGTGGTGGCTACATGATCCCCCAATCATAAAGAGATCCAGAGTCAGCCCCAGTATCATGACAGACCCTAGCAGACCCTTACCTTTAACATTTTCCCAGTGCTCCAATATACAGATGACCAAATCTTGGGCCTACCCTTTAAAATTCCCTAAAGTGCTGCTCTCATAGCATCCCCCTGAGGCATATAGGTAAGGGACAAGTCATCCACCAGGGTGGAAAAGCAGCATCCTGGCTCCCAGTTCAGTTCAACTCCCATTTAAAAGGCAAATCTCTGACTGGTTCCAGTGCTGCTCAAATGCGTTCCATCAATCAATGTCCTACTGTTTGCTCAGCAAAGGGACCCACGTGACTCCGCAGCTGAATGCACATCAGCCCCACACTTTATTTGATGCAGTGAAGAGGAAAAGAAGAAAACGCACGTGGACACACGGAAAAGTTCCAGTGAAACTGCCTTTTAAGAACCTTCTGTGGGCTTCTGCTCTCCATGGACACCTGGTTCACATTCCTTCCCCAGCCCAAGCACAGCTGGAGCTGGAGCTGACTGCAGAACAGTGGTGTTCACTTTGTGGAAGCATGGCTAAAACAGGAAGGAAAAGGATGGACCAGGGTTGCTCTCACAATGTTTCTCCTGTGACGTTCCCAGGAATGAACCTCCAAACCTGGAAGCCAGGCTGTGCCACCAGAGCTGATCCCCAAATCGCACCTCACAGAAGCTCTGTGCAGGTCAGCTGCACATATCAAGTGAGCTGTTTCGACCAGAATGGCTGCTGTTACAGCTGCAGAGCTTTCCAGGGGTGGAAATCTTGGCATGAGGTCCCCGCGTCTCTTTGTGGCCAGCTTTTCATCTAAGGGACTTCCTTCCTCTTTTGATGTTCTTCTTGATCCTCCCCTTTGGCACAGCACTTCAAAGAGGCCAGTATAATATTGTCCATCGCTTGTCCTGCCTCTCCTCACTTCCACGATTTCTCCTGGCTCTCATGTGCTTCTCCTTTCACTTGATATTCTCCTTCCTATGCAGCTTTTATAAAGGTGAAGCATCACTTTTTCCCATCTGAATTCCACGCAACTGCCCCTATACTTTTTAATTATTTCTTGCTTTTTCCCATAGCAAAGTTTGTAAAGATCTTATCTTCATGGGTTTGCATGCAGTTGATTTCATGTTTTATATTGTAATTTTAAGGATTAAATTTCCCATAAACAGCCCAGAGAGCTTTAAAATGTAAATGATGGATTGGCTTTACACATTCCCATTCTCTAACATCTCATGTTCTGCAAATACTTAAATTGTATGCCTTCAAGCAAAAGATTCTGGGTGGGCTTTAGGGAAAAAAGCGCAGCTCTTTGTTTGTTTTAAATAGAACAACTGTGCAATCACAGTCAACACATCTTATAAGAAAGAAATGGCCACATGCATCTCACATCAGTTAAGAGGCACTCTATGGGAAGGGCATCTGAGGACGATTGCAACCCTTGGGCCTGTTCCCACAAGAGAAGGTGGTCCTTCAGTGTTAAACACCCTCACCCCACATCCTCAAAAACGGGCATTCAGCATAGCGTGTTGCTAAACCTGGAGGTGCCATTCAGGTAACCTAGCTAGTGGTCATTGATCTCTCTCCCCTCATCCCTACTTGTTGCGGCAGTAAATTCCACAAGGTGACAATACAATATATGATGAAGTCATGCGGCTTGCTCTGAATCTACTACTAATCTGCTTCACGGGCAATAACCTCTCAGAGACTCAGTTCTGGTGTTAGGGGCATCCTAGTCTCCATCTGCTCCTTGCGCAGATTTCTTGAATGTGGTGATGTCGCTCTGTCAGGAAGGAGGAGGAGGAGACAGACAGGAAGAAAGTTGGAAGAAGAAGCAAACAGAGCTGAGTGACAGCAGGAAAGAGCCGGGAATAACCCAGTAGGGGATCGTCCACTGGGCCTTGGACCCACAGGTCAATTATCCATACACCCCAGCAACAAAATAGACTCCTCTTTTCCTGGTAAATGTGTCATCCAAAGATTTCGTCAAACCTTTTCAGATTAGGCACTCATAGCAAATTACACCACTCAGGAAAGAACAGCCTTCCTCAATCTGGCATGGTCCAGATGCATTAGACTAAAGAACCCATCATCCTCGTTAACGATGCATGGTTGGAGCTGTGGTCCAACACATCTGGAAGGGATCGAGACGGGAAAGGCTGATAAGGAGTTT